CAAGGCAAGATGGATGGACAGATGGAGAGCTCATTGCTGTATTTTTTTTAATAAGAAAATGTTATTAAAAGTGTCTTCTGCCAGACTGTTTTTAGGTCTAGGGAAAATGTAGTGAGAAGACTCTGAGGAAGGGGGTGGGCGTTTCCCAGAGGGACCCAGTGCCCTTCCCTCCCCAGTCATCAGTGACCACACAGCTGCTATCAGATGAATGACCTTTAATCCAGTCCCCGCCTCACCCACCAGGCATCAGGAGTGGTGGCAGAGCCCCAGGGGACAGGGCAGGGGCCCAGAGGCCCATGGTGGCAGTGGCACTCATTCACAGGGCTCCTAGGTGTTACGCACGACCAGCGACTGCTCCAGCTCCTGCCTGCGCTGCTGGATCTGTAGAGAAACAGGAGCAGGAGCAGGGTTACGTGTTGCTGGTGAGTGACAGGACAGGCCCCCACCTGCCCTGGAGGAGCATCTGGGAGCAGGGAAGGCTCCCTTGTGGTGAAGGGGAGGGTGGAGTGGCTGGTGAGGCTGAGAAGGGAGGTTTCTACTGGAGTAAGTGGGGGAGGCTGGAGGTATAGGGGGCCCTCCATACCTTGCAGTAAAAGTAGCGGCTGACGGCTTCCTGGGACCAGGGCTGGTGGTAGAACTCGGCCCGGCGCTCCTCCTCAGGGTTGCCTGCCACATCTGTCATTACCTGGGAGGGAGCAGTGGGGTCAGCCCTGAGCCCAGACCCCCTCCAGCCCCTGTGTACCACGTTTATGGTCTTCCCAATGTGCTTGTTTTCCATCCAGTGCTCCCTGAGTCCCCTTCACCTTGAGGTCCCGGCTCTGGGAGCGGAGGAGGTCTTGGATGTAGCCTTTGGGGTCTCTGGAGAAGCTTAGCATGAAGTCCCTCTGGATCTTGAGCTGGTTTATGGACTCAATCGTCTCATGGATCTACAGGTAGAAAGACAGATCCTTTCACCTGGCAGTGCTGATGTGGGAGAGGAGGGGAGTGGGCAAGAGGTGGGAGGGGTTTGCTGCTGTTCCTTTGAAGAGCAGCCCCTCAAGCCCCCGAGGCCTCTGCAGTCCCAGGGAAGGGGTAGGGGGCCGAGCTCCAAGTAGCTCACCTCCCCTTCAGAGGCCCATGTTCTTGTCTGTTTTGTCTGTACTTTTGTCATTTGGGGGTTGATGTCCCACTCCAGCTCTGGGCTGTGGCCCCACCTTACTGTCCAGAGCACTGATCTCCTGCTGGTTGGCTGTGGACAGGAGGAAGCTGCTCATCTGTCCCTTCAGCGGCTCCTCCACCTCCACGTCAATGTCATAGCACGCTGTCTTCTTCTGGTCTGACGGGTCCACGCTGCCAGGGAAGTCCAGCCCTTGGTGTCTAGCTGCCCCGCCACAAGAGGCCAAGGGCCAGAAGCCACAGGGAAGGAGGGGCCTGGGGGTGGGGAGATGGGACAAGGAGGGCAGGATCACAATGATTACCTGTTCTGAGGAGCAGGTTGGGGCCTCACCTGATAACGTGGTTGATGACAATTGGGTCAGGGGGCAAGAGCAGAGCTGTGAGGCGCTGGGGGATCTCAGAAAACTTCAGCCGCGGACAATCAAAAATCTAAAGTAGGAGAGAGAGATCACTGTTCTGTGCTTGAAAAGAGCATACTTTCCATTCTGAAAAGGCCACAAGAAGCCAGGAACAAGTCTAATTCCTCAGTGCCTGTGGGGCTGGGGCGAGGGTGGCTGTGAGTAGTGGAGCGCTGACAAGGAGGTAGGTGGGCGCCGCGCAGAGGTTGAGAGCACAGGCCCTGGGTTGGCTGGCCTGAGTATAAACCCTCCTTCCGCCACTCTCTGTGCGACCCTGAGCAACTTGCTTAACATCTCAGGTCTCAGTTTCTTCCTCTAGAAAGGGGATGATAATAGGACCTGTTCATGGGGTTGCTGTGAAAATTGAATGAGTTGGCACGCACGAAGTGCTGGGAACAGTGCCTGGCACGTGGTAAGTGCTCAATAAACATTGACTGATTTTCACTACTCAGGTGTATCTGCTGTATTTCTTTAAAAGTTATTATTAATCATGGTCTCTGGTAGAGTTTTGTCAAGTCATTTCCACAGCAATTTGATTTTCCTAACTGCCCAGTGGATTAGATGGGACAGGTTTGTTATCACCATATTGTATAGATAAGGAATAAGGCTCAAGATAGCTAAGTAATTTACCTAAAGTCTGGACCCAGGACTAGAACCCAAGGATCTTAACTCCTAGTGCCAAGAATATGTTCCCAAAAGCTGTTGGCTCAGTAGGGTTCCAGGTCTAGTCTGGGGAGGCTGAAATGGATGGGCTGTGCACAGAGCTATGCCATGGTATGGCCTGGACTGGAACCCTGGTCTCTGGCTCCAAGACCATGAGTGTCTACCATTTCTGATACCAGGAATCACAGAGGGAGGGATGGGGTTACCTTAGTAACCAGTAATTCTGCCAGCTCCCCATGGGGTTCGGGAGGGAGGGTACCTGCTGGAAATACTTGTCCCCATTGATGTATTCCTTGTCGTGCGAGTCCTGCAGCCTGTTGGTCTTCACGTACTGCCACAGGGCCTGGACAATGGCTGAGCGGCTCTGTGTGTGCAACCCCAGCAGCCGGGCCAGGCGGGGGTCCAGTTTGAATTGAGGAGGCTGGGAAAAGGTGACCATGAAAATTAAATAAAAGAGAGAGGAAAGAGCTCAGGGCCAGGAGGCTTGGGACTAGTGGAATGTGGTGGTTGGGTTCCTGGGAAACATGCTTCCGGAGAAGATGGGATAGGGAGGAGAATGGGGTGACTCACAATGTGCACCTTTGAGGCCGAGGCCCACCCTGTCTAGGAGGAAGGGAATGGGGGTATGGAGGGCCTCCTGTGGTGTCTGGGGCGGGGTGGGGAGGCACGGACCTGGTAGTCCAGCATGAGGAGCAGCGTGCAGCGCACACTCAGGTCCCCCGGCCTCTTCACCTGGAACCCATCTGTCTCCTGTGTTGTGGGCGTCCGGTGCCACTGTCCAGGGGACAAGAGCTGGGTCACCTCACAGGCCCATCTGGGCTGGTGGGGCCTGGGGCTCTAGGGTGGTCCCTGATCCAGATCTATGCAGCTGATAGGACTGAGGTCTAGGTTCTTCCAGGATTGTGGTCTGTGAAAGGGTGGCAATTCAAGGGCAGGAAGGGTCGGGGTCTTACCTCCACGAGGTGGTTGTCAGGGCCATAAAGGTCTTTGTCCAGCTCAATGACCAAACTCTTGAAGAAAGAAGAGAACTTCCGCTTCTGCTTGCTGGGCTGTGGGAGAGGAATGGACCGTGGGGGCAGAACAGGGACTGTGGGGGCAGGATGAGTTGGGAGTGGGTGGGGCTGGTTGGGTAGGGCAGCACAGTTAGAAGCAGGCCTCCACAGCAGAATGTCTCTCCAGACCACCCATCCCTGGCCAGGGCTGACTCCCTAACCCTAGTGAAATGTTCTGTCCTCAGCTCAGCCCATACCCACCCCAGGACACCTGGAGAGACCTGGGCCAGGACGTACGTCATCCAGGAGCTTCCCCTCCACCCGCAGCTCCCAGGAGGCAATGCTGCCATCAGAATCCTCAGCATCGGGCTTCGCAGGGTTAAAAGTATTGGAGATATAAAGACGCAGCTTCCGCTTTTGCTGTAGAAATAAAGAGTGTAGTACAGAGCCAAGACTGTGTGCTCCCACCCCCAGGACAACCCCGCTTCTCCATTCTGGGAGTAAGACTTAGTGTCCTTCTCCTGCCCCTAAACAAAGGCACCTTCATCGGCCTCTTCAGAGCCTCCTGGATGTCCACCCGCTTCCGCATGATGGTTTGATCCAGTTTTCTCTCAAACGCCAGGAGGTCCATGTAAGCCTGGGACTCTGGGACCAGCTCTCGGATCTGGAAGAGGAGGAGGAAGGCAGGGAACCAAGGACTCAGCCAGTCTTGCAGGTGGAATGTGTGTGTGCCATGGGGTCCCAGGGCACAAACAGTGTGGCAGGAGCTGGCTAGTTCAGGGTGCAGAACTTTGAGAGCTCGAAAGAGACTCTCCCCAGGACTCCACATCCAGCATTAAGGGCCTCGTTTGTAGGGATAAAACTGCTCCTGCTAGGGAGATTCATGCATTCCATCACTAGGGGAGGCCGGAGCAACCATGCAGCCCAGCAGGCACTAGGGCTTCACCTCCTCATCTTGTCCTTTCCCTTGTCACATGGCCTCTGGACTTCCCTTGGGTGTCTGCAAAGTGGCTAGGACCCTGAGGTCCCTGAGACACGGAAAGTTGCCACTTGCTCCAACTGATGTCTCAATCATGCTATCTCCGCACCCAGCTCAGCCTGGGTCCGCTTATGATGCCCGGGCCTTTGGCCAGCTTCTGTTCCCTCATTCCCCCTGCCAGCCTGTGATCCCCTAGCTCTTGTCCCCTTTGTCCCATGCCTTTACGTCTTCAGACCTCTGGAACTCAATCTACTGCCCTCAGGCCCAGTATCCTACCCTGTATGGCTCCACTTCTTCCCTCCCCCCACCCCCTCCCTCTGGCCTGGGGAGCCTCACTTCTTAATTAGCTTTTTAAACAAAAAGTGAAAGTGACTGTGACGCTGGAGCTCCGCTCCTGAGGGGGGAGGGGAGGCGGCCAGGGTGGTGGGGAGGGGGGAAGGAGGGCGGAGCAGCAAAGGGTGGGGGGTGGGCTGGGGGCTGCTGTGAAAGACACTCACCCTTTGAGGGAGGATTTTGTCAGCCATCTTCCTCCTCTTGGCACTGTACATTTTTTAAAGAAAAAACCAGGTTACCATGGCGACAGATCTGGGAGTAACGAGGCCACCTGCTAAATTATCCCGACATCTCAGCCCGCCTGGCTGGGGTTCCCACAGCCCACTTGTCTGCCCGCCCAGGGGGCTATGATGTGGTGTGTTGCACTGGCACTCTGTCCTCTCACGAGGAGCAGAGGTGACCCCGTCCTTTCTGTAGCCTGGGAGCCCCTTTCTGCTCCACCACATCCTCAGGGCCAGAGAAATTAGACTTTGAAGGGGCTAGGGGTAGGGGAGCTGCAGAAGCAAGCGTTTGAGGAAAGCTGGGGAGGGGAGAGGACAGAGGAGAGGGAAGAAGGATTCTGAGGATTTTCCTTTTCTGCTAAGCAGGGGTGCATGTTCAAGGAGGCCTGAGCTCAGAGGAAGGGGAGCAGCCCCGCTGCCCCATCCCTGGAGCAGGAAGTGATGGTGTGAAGCTGCTGAGGACTCGCACCCCTGCCCTGCCTGGGCTTGGAAGGCAACACTGGTGGGCAAGGAATGCTCATGCCCTTGGACCACTTGCCAACAGGGCCCAGGGACACACCCATAGGTATTCAGAGAGTGGGTACGGATGTTCTCCTGTGGGTGTGGCAGTGGGCTGGACCTGGGGTGGCAACTGAGACTTGGACTCTTCTTGATCCACTAGCCGCTTCTGACTCCCAAAAGCACCCCAGAAAATCCTTGGCGGGTAGAAATTAGGACCCATCCTAGAGGATGGCTGCATACTGCCCCCGTGTGGTGTTCTCAACCACTGCCCCCTACCTGCCCAAAAATCTATTCTAAGGCTAGGCAAGCAGTTTTCTGAAAGGTCTGATTTGTTTTCAACAAATTATCTATGTGAAATTTTCCATTTATACAATGTAAATCAGAGACTTTTTTTTACTGTATTAAAAGAATGACTCACTGCGAAAGAATTCATTGTGGGATTTCTATAAATGGTAAATTTCCCTTGATATGTAAAAAATATTTAATAATGAGCTAAAATCCATATTGCACCTTTTATAGGACTCCATCTGGTGTGCAAAGGGAAGCATGTGTGTTTGGCTAAATAGTGAAACCCAAAGAGATATCTCTCTTGCCAGGCACCAGCATGGGCTTTTGGGGTGCCACCAGCTGGCTCAGACAAGGAAATCGGCTGGCCCCTGGTGGTTTGGGGGCAGACCTGGTCCAGAGGACAGACTGTGGCAGCTTTTCAACCTTTGAGTGCCTAAGAATCACCTGAGAGCACAACGGGGCAGAAAGTGCCCACCCACAGGGCAAATTCCCAGGCTCCACCCACCTGGCCAGAGATTCAGATTTAGAAGATCTGGAGTGGGGCTTTTAAACAGTCAAGCCAGGGGATTCCGAGGAAGGCACACTGGACAACCACGCTTTAAGAAACACAGCCTCTAAAGCTCTGCTCTCTGTCCTAATGTCAGCCCTGCCTCCACCCCAAAGACTGAAGCATCACCCAAACCTGGGGACAAGGGGTGGAGAGAGGGACAGAGCAGGTGGCGAGGAGAAGGGCGCGACGGCCGCAGCCTGTCTCTACGGTGGGCACACAAAGGAACCAGACCAGTGCCCCCTCAGCCCCCCTCCCCAGAGGTATCCCACCCAAGACGACTCGTTCCCTGATGATCATTCTCCCTTCTTCCAATCCCGCTCGTCGCCCACCCCGTCCCTGCGGGTCCTGCGGTCCGCACCATCCGCGCTGGGCCCCACTTACCTGCGGCTCCGCGCGGGGGCGGTGGGCACCGGCTGGCCCTGGCTCTGGGCCTGGCTCTGGCCGGGCGGGGGCGCTGCTCGCTTGCGGGCGGGCTCCATGCCCGCGGGGGCCAGGCCGGGTCGCACGGCGGGGCTGCCCATGTACGGGGAGCCCGGGGGGCCCATGGGCGCCCCCTGGTGGGGCATCCGGGCTCCAGACGGCATCCCGGGGCGCTGCGGAGGCGGGGGTGAAGCAGAAAGAGGCGCCCGCCGGTCGCACCAGGCCCCGGCTCCAGGCGCGGTGAGCTGCGTCTCCCGAACCCCGAGCCCCACGACCCGTGACCCTGATGCCGACGGCGTGAGCGAGGGGTGGGAGGGGCAGGGGCGCCGGAACCGCGCGGCTTTGGCGGAGGGGGCTTTGCGTCTCGCTGCAGGAAGCTAACTGAAGCCAGGCAACTGCACAGGGCATTGCCAGCCTCGGATTTGCGGAAGGTGCCGCGAAAATGAATATTAATGGCGCCTTTCAACCTTTTCAAAGGATGTTCTCATCCACACGCTCTTCGGCAAGACAGACTGAGCGGGTCCTTCCATCCCCACTTGACAGATGAGGCAACCGCGGCTCAAGGAGAAAAGCAACCTAGCCAAGGTCATGCAGCAACTCCTGGTGAAGGCAGCACTGAGCGGCTGTTTCCTGAGGGGACAGGGTCTTTGCTCTCTGCTGCTTCATTTCGTTTAGGGGCTGAGCTCCCTGCTGGGACTTCTGCCGCCCCTCTTTCCATTCCCTGCTTCCCAGTTCATTTCCTGGGCTGTCCTGCCCTTGCACTCACCCTTTCCATCTCAACCCACTCTACTCCCTGGGCCCCTGCTTTTGATCTCTCAGCTCCAATCCTCACCCCCTTCCTCTGATTCCAATACTCCGCAGGCAGGGGCTTTGCTGACTTGGCCAACCCCCACAATTTGCTCCCAAGGTGAAGGCTGGATGTGGGGCTGGAGGCCACCTGAGAGGCTGAGGTCAGACTTCACCAGGATTCTGTGATGGTGTCAGGGGAGCTCCACTGGAGGTGGGCTGTTCAGAGGGCTTGGGTAGCTCAAAAGCAGCAGCATTTCCTCTTACTAAGGGGAGCATTTCATCTCTTCCTTTTTGTCCTCCTGGATTACCAGAGATGGTCGCATCCTCCAGACCGCCTCACTTCCCACCCCACCCCAGTGAGGTCAGAAGTCAGGGCTCAAAGAGGGCCCAGGAGAGGGAGATGAGGTAGGTGATTCCCTCACCACTACCGGGGTGCTCAGATGGGAGGTAGATGACGTCAAATTCATCCAGTGAAGTATCCCACAGACTTTAAAACCCCACCTGTCCAGATTCCAGAAGAGGGGCTGGGGAGGGCCAGAGGGGCTGTAAAGTGGAGGCTGGGTGGATGTCTCCCTGGGACAAGGAGAGCAGGAAGGAGATTAGGGAGTGAGGGTTGCAGACCCTGTGCCCCTGTTACCATTTAAGTTCGACTCACTTCAACCCCAGGAGTGCAGCTGCTCCCAGGAACAAGGAGGAGCCCTGACCCCGAGCTTGGTGAATTCCTTCTAACTGCCAACTCTCCCTCCTGCCCTGCACTGTGTCTAACCCTAACCCCCATCAGCCAGCTGTCTCTGCCCATCGCCTCCACAGTGAAACCTGCCTGTCCTGTGTCTGCCTCCCCCGCCCCACCTGACCCTGTCACTCACACCTCCAGGGTGGTGGCCCAGAATAGAGCCCCAGCTGGCCATTCCCCACCAGCACAAATGGGGCACTGGGAGTGGGGCAGTGGGGCTCACAGCCACCCAAGAACTGAAGCTCTAAGTTGGCCAAATAAAAAATCCACATGTATAGCCCCTCTTCTTCCTAGATGGGCCTTTTCAAAGGGACTTCCCAAGCAGCAAGGTTAGGACTGGTCACTAGGCTGACCGACATGGGGACCCCTTGGAAGTTAGCCCAGAGATCCTTGGGGGCTGGAGGACAGGCTGCCTCAGGGAAGCCCCTTTCCCCATCAGCTGTTCTACCATTTCACAAGGCCAGTGGTACTCACTGATCTGTTGAATAGGCCCTGAGAGTGAAGCTTCCAAAGCCTCAGAGAAATATGCCAGCTACCAGGGATCAGTGACCCCCAAGAAGGGCCAAGATTCTAGGGACTCTGGCCTCCCTGACTGAGAACGTGCCTTCCTCAGGGGTCACAACCAAATCTGGCCATAGTAAACCTGACTATTTCCTTTATACCACCAGCACCCAGCCCAAGTCCTGGAGCCCCTGCCTCTCCCATTCCACTGTCCTCCACAGCCCTTCCAACCTGATTCCATTCCCTCAGGTCCCCTGGGCTCCCTGTGGGCCTTCTTGTGGCCGGATGGTGCTGCCCTGTCCCTTGGTCTCTAGGCCTCACGTCTCTGACTCCAGCCCTTCCTTCACACCTTTGCAGCATTAAGGACATCAGCTTCTGGTGGCTGAGTCAGCCAAGGGATCCTCAGACCCCTTAACTTGGGGTCTGCCCCTAGAGAGGGCCTCTCTCTGGCCCTGAAGGCAGAGGCCATCAGCGAAGCCCCAGAGCCCTCCTGCTGGGATGCAGAGGTTGTTCAGACAGAGAGCTTCCCGCTCACAGGGACTCCAGGGTCACCTGCTCCTTGCTCCTGAGACACAGAGAGTCACTATCCCAGCGGATGAACAGTCAGCCCAGCCCAGCGATGCCATGTCCCCCACCCCCACCCCCAGGACAGGGGTAACACCTGGGCCCACAAGGAAAAGAAGACAACACATCTGGTACAAGGGGGAACCCCCACTTGGCGGGGTACAATCCCCAAGTCCCACCCCCAACCCCTGACAAGAACCCATGCAAACGCCTCCCTTCCCCGCCCGGGCACCCATCCCCGGCCAGCCGCCTGACGACGTGTTCGGGTGCCAGGGCGCCGGCACAGTCCCAGGGCTGGGCCGCGGGCCGTGGCGCCCCTGCTAGAGGAGTGGGAGAGCGGGAGCCCCCTCTCGGCCCCTCCCGATCATCCCTCCATTCAGCCCGAGCCAGCTCGCTCACCCTCCCCCGCTAACTTTCCCCCACTCACCACCCCATGGACCAGAAACTCAAAAAGTTTGCTTTTCGTGGCTTTGCGCGCCCCTCCGGCAACTTCGTCCGCGGCCATCGGGGTGGGCTCAGCGGCTCCTCTCACTCTCTCTCTCTCTTCCTCTTTCTTTCCCTTTTCTGCCTTTTTTTTTCCTCC